ATTGCTTCCCCTCCTCAACTTATTGTTGTCTAAACACAACCTTCCAGAAATGCCCCATACACTCATTCCCCTGCTTTAAAAATATACATACATATTACTTACTGGAATACAAAATAAATGAAGCTTCATGATGTGTACATTTATTATGTATGATATGGGGTCATATATTAACAGACAACTCCAGTTCCTCCAAATGTTAGTGACTACATAAATCAGAGCTTTTAGGTTATATCATCAATACAAATGGCTTTCACTGTGATTGCTATAAATCTATTGATTCATTTGATGATTTATTTTTCTTTTTTTTGGTGTATTATTAATTCCCATAAGTTTCAAGGCAAAAGTCTTATCTATTAAACTCCATTTGGTAGTGCTTGACCAGGTCCATGTGCTTTAGATTGGTAATAATTGAGCTGTCTTTCTTTGCTCTTGCAAAGCAGTAATTTAAGTAACCTTTAAAAGGAGTCCAGAACATAAAAATACATAGAAGTTAAAAATTATGGCTAGAATTCAAGTAGAACAGTCTGATTTTAATCCACTCTAATTTTCCTTGTTCCATTCTATAAATGGGTAACTAATGCCAACTACTAAGAATAGGTGTTTAGCAATGTTCGTCTCTACCTCTCTGCTGGAATGTAGTGATACTTTTAATTATTGTGCTCTACAATAATGTAGAATGTAGAATATGTAGAATCTAAAGAAGTCTAAAACATGCCAACAACAGAGGAACTAGCAATGATATTAATGAATTGGCTCTATCGTCTAAATGCTCTGTGTGCCTGAAATACAGCAGTTTACATGCATTATGTCTTGGAATCCTCACAACCCAAAAAGAACCAAAAAAAAAAAAAAAACCAAACAAATCCATCAAATCCATTGCTGTTGAGTCAATTCTGACTCATAGTTACCCTCTAGGACAGAGCAGAACTGCCCAAGTTTCCAAGGCTGTAATCTTTATGGAAACTGACTGCCACATCTTTCTCCTGCTCTAGTGGGTTAGCAGCCAAACACTTAACTACTGCACCACCACGGCTCCTCAAACCTAAAAGAAGTACTATTATCATCCTCATTATCATCCTCATTGTATAAATGAGCAAACTGAGCCCTAGAGAAGTTAAATTGCCCTAAGGATACAGAGTCAGTAATCCAGATCCCAAGGCTTCAACTACCATGTAATGCCATCTCTTCCTTCAATATTCTACGTGCATTTATTAAGCAAAAAGAATTTATAAACACCTCTGTGTGCTTCCTCCCAGGACTGAATCCTTCTCTTAGGCTCTGTACACCACGTACATGATCCCGTAGGAACCACATACAGATTTTCCTCACAGAAGTTGAGCCTTTCCTAGCTGAGTTGGAATGAGTCACTTGGTATGCATAGGGTGCTTAAGGTGTGGCAATTTGACCATACAGAGTTTAAAGACTGCTATTTCTTCCCTAAACATCTGACAGCAAGAAAAAGAAATAATGGCTTTATTCACTGAGAGACAGACACTTTGCCAGCAAAACTTAGTCTTTCAAAGGGAATCAGCATGGCATTAGTTGAAAGGCATGTTCAGGCCATCCTGAGGTGAATGGATTTGCCAAAATAACACAAAAGTAAGAGTTTTTAAACTGCTTTTAACTTCACATTTAGCAGAATAAATTACTCATTTTTAAGGAGTCATTTTAAGATGAGGGCTGGGGAGAATTATGCAGGTAAATTGCTTCCAGCTGCCTCTGAAGTTAAGGGCACAATTTTACCCACGGCTTGAACAATAGTTAAGGATTTTTAAATTTGCAATAAACAGGATCAGTTATGTCTCTTCACCTACTATTACCAAGACTTTGGAGTAGTACTGAGGTTGCTGACAACCAGGGTAGCCTACAAAGTGGGAAATTACATGGAGAAAATTTCCCAGATTCCTCCTCAAAATCCACAGTTTGGTTGTGGGAGGAACAAGGTTTGTAGAGTAATAATCAAGTAAATTTCTTATTTGTTGAGGGTTTACCAAGAATTTTGAATAGCAGTAAATAGGGAGACCATGTGATGTCTGGTCATGTGATGACCATATGATGCCTGGCCCAGAAATGGAGACTGACCAAATTTGACTTCTGGTCTGGGAAAATTCGTATCTATATTCTCTTTATCAAAGATAAACAGACTTTACA